AATTTCAGCTGAAATTGAGCTGAAATTGACGATTTAGCGCCGAAGGCAAAAATTTCGTTGGTTTTGGCGTATCTTTAGCCGTAAAGGCAGTAACACCACATTGCCCGAGAGTTAAGGCTGTTACGCAGTGTTGGTGCGCCTGTTGCGCGGGGAGTCCCGCGGCGCGGCGCTGTGCCGGTGCGCCCCGCCGCACGGTGGATCGAGTCAATGGTAGAGGTCGGTCATGGGCGACGAAAAAAAAAGTCTGATTTTAAATATTTTTTCTTGGTTTTCTAGTAGTTAAGCTTCCAAAATGAATGTATCCACGGTTCTAGGATCTTTGAACCCTTCCGCTTTGACATGCGGGTTGCCTAAAGCTGACATTGCAGGTGGTATCAAATTTGCCGTCTAATTCTCAAGGTTTGATTTTGCTTTTGCATGAGTTCTGTGGCAGATTTATCAAAATTTCAATTAAACATGCTTATTCTCCTCCCTTTAAGGAACATTTTGGTATATCATGAATGTGCATTGGCATATTTTTAGGAGGACCAAAACCACCTCCAAAGCTTGCTTTAAAAAAAACGCCCAAAAGAATGTTAAAATACCTCGATAAAAAAATGTCCACAAGTGTCCGCAAAATCCTTTGTTGGGTTGCCTCCTGTACACTATCAGGAATGATATTATGTAATAATTAGCCGCTAATATCCGCTAATCTGCGAAAACGGTCCATTTGAATGATAGGAAGTCGCGCCTGCTGGGAATCCGATCTTGCTCTATTGCCATCAATAAAATCGTGCATCACACGATATCCTTCAATCTCAATAATTTTTCTACTGATTACTAATTTTGGCTTATTTGTTGATATTTTTGGACGAGACATTAACCTTCTGTTAGTCTTTGAAGTTGATTCGATCAACGTTACACTGTGCGATAAAGTTTAAGGTGTATGTTTTGCGCATTGTATATTTCACACGTCCCGTTTCTTGCAAAATGTCTTCAACATACCTAGAACTCTTTCATGAGCTCCATACAAATAAAATTTCAACTCCCCCCCCCCCTTGGAGGATGCCAATACTTTCTCTACCCTAGGGTAGCGAGAAAGTAAAAATTGGTTGTGGGTTGAAAAAGAAGAAATACAAGAAATTTCTTCGAGAGACAATAGTCCTTCTCAGAGGTTCTTCAAGGGATCAGAACTTGCATGAAAAATAAATTTCCTCTTATTTTCATATTTATTCAATAAATATGTTTCAAACTTCACTCCAAACATTGAGGAACAAAACGAAATAATGGAAGATGATATAATTTTTTTTTTCTCATGGAAACCATGAGGTCCCCTAGAATCCAAGTTTTCTTCTGTGAGTATTCTGAGGGATTTACACGGACTCTCTGGACTAAAATAGATATCCATGCAGAGCATTTTCATGGATTTCTAGGCTTCCTCCTGGTGATTTTGCACTTTTGATAGGGAGAACAGCAACATTTTGGCAATTTTTCTGCATCAAAAAGTATCATTAAGTTAGGCTTTCCTCAATAATACTTAGGAGACATTCATTGACTGTAGCATCATGTTACTTTAATACAAACTATAATACAAAAATGTAGAAATATTTCACACATTTTTCTTCAACTGCGGGCGTTTGAACTTAAAGGTGATTAAAAAAATTGTGAGCCTAAAAGATAAAATGAGATAAGATAACATTTATTATTTCAAAAACAAGGAATTACAAGTAAAAACAAAGATAAGATAACATTTATTGATTCAATAAGAAGGAATTTACAGTAAAAACAAATTTAACAGCTTCACATACAAGAAAAAACTGATGTGGTATGTGGTGCCCATATAACTACGGAGAAGTGTAGAGTAATGTAACGAAGTCTGAACCAAGGCAATAGCCTCACAGTTATAAAATAATTTTCTTTAAAAAAACTAGGCTCAGCACCATTTTGTCATCAAATTTTGATTGATTGATGAATCAATGTTTGGAAAGTTTTCCGAAGATTGATTAGGTAATATGATTTGTGCAAATTATCAGGACAGGATCCATGATGTGCTCTAAGGAATATCTCGGGTGACAAGTTTTCAATTTTATGGTGCCCCAGAAACTGAGGCGAAACTGTTCGTAAAAAAGATTAGAGGCTAGATGTGGGAGTAAATATTAATTAAACTGGGAAAAAATTTTCCCATCCTCTATTTAAAAACTGTGGGCCCCTTTTTGAATGTCCTATCAGACTTTCTTTTAGTACTAATAAAAAGAGCCTGAATATTGCTGCCTTCAGAGGTAGATTTGTACACACCATAAGAGGCTGGTAGAAAGCAGTTTATTTTTTTTTCCTATCTGCCCACATTTGATCTGACTACAAAAGCTGAAGGCTCTTGTCCGCAATTTTTTATGCTGTTCCAATTGCTGAGCTCAAGAAAAGAAGAAAATAAAAAAACATTACCATTGTTGGAAAATTCCAGGTTTATGTTTCTATGTTCCTTTAGGCTTAACCATTTTTTAAGATTGAGGATAATAGACAATGAGCAGTGATTGTGCAGTGAAGCTGCAGTGTTTCAAATCATGGACCCAATTATACTCTCAATGAAACTGCACTACAGTCTCTTGAAAGTTTGCGGCACTAATGCAGTAAACAGTCAATAAATCCCTTTACTTATTTTCATGCATGAAAGTTACAGTATGATGGTCTAGACCAATCCACACAGGTCAGTCATTCCCGAGGACGAGTTTTGGTACTCTACTGCGCAGTGACGTAGTATTGAATGCTTGCAATGTATTTCTTATGGGAACACCCATTGTGACGTAGCATTGAGTGCAGCCGAGTTAGGGCCGGGCGGGGAAGTGGCTTTCAAAAAGATGCGCAATGACTGACCTGTGTGGATTGGTCTTGATGATGATGACAAGTGCAAAACGTGTTACGTGCAGTCCAGTGAAAATGCTTGTGACACCGGTTTAGTGTCAGTAACATAATGTGATTCTCTTTGCAAATCGCATTAAACTTTCTAGAGACTCCAAAATTTCTACCTGACTAGCTTTTGACTCATTTTTAATGGAGAGGATTCCAGGACCATAGATATACATAATTATTCGCGACTAGGTTTCGTGAGTACAAGGATGTATGTTTGGCAACTGATGAAAAACTGCGATTATTAGTGAATTACAGCAAGTCTTGGAAAAAAACCACGAAAAATTGCAGTAAAAGTCACATGACCACGACCTACTGACGTCTGATCGGACGCAAAACCTGTTGCCTGTGGCATAAAAAGAGGTTACCAAGGATATATCACTGTTCAATTAAGAGCCGTTCAAGTACGTGCCACTTCCAGAAAGGAGGTAGGTTTATGCCGGCCTTATCGGGCCTCACAACGGAGGGAGAGGAACAGGGTCAAGACACATCTTGCATTGGCCGCCTACTTATTTTTTTTTAAAAAAGTATTTGTCAAAAAGAATAATTTGTTTCAGGCTTGGACCAGACTAGTCATATTTAATTCAAAAAGGGAGATGGGAGGTAGTCTCACAGCGGCTTGACAAGGGAGGTTAAGAATCGGCCAAAATGCTTTAAGTAATACCAGGACGGTCCCATAAGAAATGAGACATTTTTCTTACAAAAGGGAAGAGGAAAAAATAAATAATTAAAAAGTACTTGGCAGTCATAGAGAGGAATAGAGTCGCAGTGTAATCGAACGCCGATGAAGTCACTTCTTGAGGAAATAATTTTTGTCTAGTACCTACTCCTGAGACTAGTGTGCGTTGACTGACAATGCGGTATGCATGAGGTCCCAGCTCCAGGCTTCACTCAAAAAATATAGATATACCTAAAATAAAATGTTTTTCATAAAATTTAGGAGTTTTGTGGATTTTCGAATTTAATACCACTTGGGTCGAAATAATATGCCGATATAGTCGTGACAGTAATTAAAAATTTATATTAATAAATCCCGAAAACCACTCGCGGCCTGCGATTCTTCCATACTGCTGTGCTACTGAAAACCGCCGTATGAAGATTTGAAAGTTGCCAAATTCACCCTAATAAAATTACTTCCTAGAGAAAATTACTTCCTAATAAAATTACTTCCTTAAAAGAATCCTGGATTTCAGCTAAGCACGAAAAAGGAAAGAAGGATGACTGCGAAAACTACAGGGGGCTATCTGTCGTAGGGACAGTTAGTAAAATTTACGGGAAAGTTTTAAAAGCTAAAATCGAAGAAGAGTGGGCTCCATATGAAGCAGAGGAGCAAGCAGGATTCAGGGCCGGTAGGTCAACTGTCGACCATTTATTCTGTATCACACAACTGGTTGAGAAAAAAATGGCCGTAGGACAGGAGCTCCATCTAGTTTTCGTTGATCTTCAGAAAGCGTATGATAGCTTTCCACTAGTGAAACTCTGGGAAGCCCTGAAAAAATCGAATTTTAGTGATGGACTCGTGAATGCGATTAAGAAATATTACTGTGGAAGTTTTACTAGAATTAAATGTCAAGGGAGGTTATCTGGTGGTTTTTATGTTTCTAAAGGTTTAAAATAAGGATGTTGTTTGTCACCTACATTATTTAAGATCTTTCTAGAGCACGTTTTAAAAGAGTGGAAAAAGAAGTGCTCTGGCATGGGCGTTCCCCTAAATGATACGGACACATTGTATACTCTATGTTTTGCTGATGACCAGGTGGTGATCGCGCAGGATGCGGATGACGCTGAATATATGACTCGGAAATTAGTGCTAGAATATCGAAGGTGGGGCCTAGAGGTCAGTGTCAAGAAAACGGAAAAGTTGACGATTGGAGGGGATCAGCAAGACATAGAGCTGGAAGATGGGCAGTGTATTAAAAGCTGCGAGCATTACAAATATTTGGGAGTTCGAGTATCCCAGGATGGAAAGATGGACCAAGCCATAAAAGATCGAAACCTGTAGGGAAGGAAAGCTATTGCTATGTTAAATAGGATTCTTTGGGATCAAAGTATCTCTAAAGAAAAAAAGAGAATGATTTATAACACCATAATCAAAAGCAGCAAGCAAAAAATCATAAACCTACGGCAGTGAAGAGTGGCCCATGAAAGAGCGTACCAAAAAGATTCTTAAGGCAACTGAGATGGATTTCTGGCGAAGATCAGCCGGAATCTCGAGGAGAGATCACGTAAGGAACGAAAGAGTCCGTGAGATCATGAACGCCGAGCAGAACATCGTGCATGAAATTATGACCGAACAGCTTGTCTGGTATGGTCATGTTCAACGAATGGCGGATGATAGGTTGCCTAAGAAGGTGCTAGATTGGGTTCCTCCTGGGAGAAGACGTAGGGGACGCCCAGCAAAATCGTGGATTGGTGGCATTCCAGATGAAATCACAAGATGCCATCTACCAGATGACCTCTGGATGAATAGGCAAGGATGGCGATTAGGTGTCGCAGAGCGCCCGAGCGCGCTGTAAAGCGACTGGAATGTATGTATGTAAGTTCAGATATTTTGGATTGAACTAGCAACTTAACCCATGCTTCACACAGACAGTATGATCTGAACTTTCTTACAGCTTTTACATTTTTAGCGGTGGCTTACCTATATTTTTAAATTATGTTTTGCACTTATTTCTGGATTGAGAGGAAATGTTTTGTGGATGCGTCATGGTAGGTAAGTAATGCTAAAGTCCATATAGCAGAGAATATTCCGAGAATGAATTCCATTCGATTAATTAATCAATTAGAAAAAGCCATGGGAAAAGCAATGATTACATAATCAATGAGCTCATGAAAATCTATAATCTTTGATTCAATAACTACTCTTCAAAATTAACGAAAAGGTTTTTATCCTCTTTTTCAGTGGTTCAATTTATCTACATTTTGCAATTAGAAACTTCGATTTCTGGCTCATCTGTTCAAACCAAGTGCAAAATATAGTCCAAATCTGCTTTCTACTTCACTCCGATTTTCCATCTTTGAGTTGAGAAATTGGACCACATTTTGCAGTTTGGAAGTACAATTCCTGTCTTGGTTTAGAAATAACTGATGTGCCATTAGTTTTCTTATGCACGTAAAAGTTTGCACAGATGAGCCAGATATTGTAGTGCCTAATTGGAAAATGTTCTTTATTTCTTGAGGTGAAGCGGGCAGTAACTTCCCAAGTTTTCGCTTCTTTATTTCCGGTTACCTTTCCAAACAGAAAATGCAGTTTAACATGTCTAAAAACTAACACATTCAAGTATTTTCCAAATTTTTCAATGGCAATGAATCAGTCCATAAGAAGGCGGCAAAAATAATTGAAGGATAAATGAATTAGATATTGGGATGGGATGCGTATGCAAATTTTCATGAGTTCGGACGACAGAATTGCTCTGATATTCCACATTATTGCTGAAATTTTCCAAGATTGCTCATATTGCTTTTAAAAAAGAATTTAACCCCCCCCCCCCAAGTGCATCGAAGCCAACAGAGCCCAGCACAACTTACACATGACTAAAATCCCGTTAAACACAACCAAAACATCAAGCACAACAAACGCATTATCACATTAAATACATCAAACACACCAAACACGAAAAAACACATAAAACACATCAATTAAACACATAGAACTGCGATACACTTGGATTCACGCATGCATCGATTATCACACATATGGCGAATAAATCGCAAACAAAGGTGCCTAGCAACCATGAGTCGGTTCCTCTCCCCAATTTTAACCTTCTTTGACGATATAATCCCGAAATTACGACGGGGCGAAAATCAAAATAGTCTATGTCACTCCCAGGATGAGATAGGATTGATGTACAAATTCCCGAGAACATTGGACAAACGGCATGGTCCAAATCGTGAAAACGGTAAACCTGCTCTAAAATTTATATACCTAAAAGACTTGACTTTATATATAAAATTGCTAACAAAGTTATCTAAAAAATGGAAGAAAAATCTTCCCAAATTTCCCAATGAATTCGTATTTTATCAAAGGAAATTAAGCAACCCCTGAAGGTTCATACGGCGTTTAACTTTGGCTTGGCAGCATAAGCCGCGGTATTAAATAATGCCGTACCGTTCTCACTTTTTGGTGAACAAGAGGCTAGAAATGCATCGTTCTAAGATTGACTTCATCGGTACTCCAGTACATTGGGACTACATTGTACTCTATGGACAGAGTACCAGTCAATTTTAAAATTAATTTCATATAAAGAACAAGCCGGCTGGTAAATAGAGTCGTAATATAATGAAGTGAGCTGAGGTCATGTTCTAATCGACGAGTTCCGAGCCCAATGTGCGCCGAGAATCGATCACCTTTTCGATCCAAAATGGCAATGTATAATACGATACGTAATAATTCATAATGTCTTTGTTTACGCCGGATGACCTATCACCGGTCGGGTGCTTGTGTATCGAATGCAACCGATCATGTATCGGAATGGTGGTGACCCAGCACCGCATAGGAGTCATGGAATTCTGTGCTTGGAAAACGGAGATGGAGAGTGAAATTTCAAAAGGCTCGAATAAATTTCACAAAATTTGAAAGGACTACGAGCAAAACGGGCCATTTGGGGCTCAGGGCGGATTCCCCTTTTCATTGACCAAACTATGTCCCATCTTTTCCCAAAGTTTCAAGCCCCCCAACAATTTTGGGGAGGCACGGCGGGGGGTCGAAGTTACAAACCGGCAAAATTTTCGCTAATTTATTACTCGAAAACCAAGAAGTTTTGGAAAACGCCGTTTATACGAGCGTAATCAGCGTGACGAGGGCTTCCAGAAATGGATAACATCATAGGGTTTTGTAAACTTCAGCTCGAGTTATCGCCTCCGAAGCGCCGGAACGCTCAAAAAAGACCCTTTTTTTTCACGTCTAGGCCGATTCCAAAAAAAGCCATTTTTTTATTTTGATGAAAAACTCATATGTTGTTTCTGACTCTCTGCAGCCCCTCTAGCTCTTAACCGTATGCTGAGGAAATGTTTTGGTCGCAAGTTATACGAGCGGAAAGGAGCGAAGGTCGGGAAAATCGGCTATTCTAAACTGCGCGCGCGGCGTTGATCAGAGGACACTGGCAACAATGCAAGTTCGGCCGAGGAGTGAGATTCGTAAAACTGAGCGAAAGTGGACCTTCTCCTTCCGATCAACGCCGCGCGCGCAGTTTAAAATAGCCGATTTTCCCGACCTTCGCTCTTTTCCGCTCTTAAAACTCGCGACCAAAACATTTCCCCAGCATACGGTTAAGAGCTAGAGGGGCTACAGAGAGTCAGGAACAACATATCAGTTTTTTATCAAAATGACAAATGGCTTTCCTTGGAATTGGCCTGGACGTGAAAGAAAAGGGGTCTTTTTTGAATATTCCGGCGCTTCGGAGGCGATAACTCGAGCTATAGTTGACAAGACCCTTTAAACATTTTCTTAAAGCTCTGGTCACGCTGAAAACGCTCGTCTAAACCGCGTTTTTCAAAACCTCTTGGTTTTTGAGTAACAAATTCGCGAAAATGTTGGTGATTTTTAACTTTGACCCCCGCTGCTCTTCGCAAAATTGTTGGGGGGCTTGAAACTTTGGGAAAAGATGGGGCATTATTTGGTGAATGAATAGGGCAAGTCTCAAAGGTATCCGCCCTGAGCCCCAAATGGCCTGTTATGCACGTAGGTAGTCCTTTATTAATTTTTTTCGGAATTATTAATTGAACCTCCGGAGATCCGGTACATTTCAAATAGTCTTCCTGTTGCTGTGGCAGTATTATGCTACCCTACTGAAGTTCTATACATGGAGGGGGGGGGGCACAAAGGAGAGAGAAAAGCCCTAACATAACCTCTAAACGGCAGAATATCTTTTCCGCACAAAGTACACTTGTGGTCATTTTTCCGAGTATCGCTGCCGCACAAAATCATTTTCGCAGATCTCAAAAATCTGGCAACATCGCACAGCAGCTGAGCATACCGTTATTTTCGACTTCAAAAAAAGGAATCGTTTGGCAATGTTCTGTCGAAAAAAGTTACTATGCAACTTGCGTGACAGATCCTGAAATGAGACTATAGTAGGAATTGATAAAGAGCATCATCATCAAAGCACTAGCGCAAGATCAATTGCGCGGCAAGAAACTCGAACGGCGGTTAAAAGTAAAGCCGTCGAGGATGCTCATACGCAGTCAAGGAAAATTATCCCTGACGATCCCTGCTGGACTGCTGAGTAAGGTAAGAAATAATTTTTTCAATCTTTGTTCACTCATTTATCTTAAATATGCCTCATATTTTTCTCGACGTTGCCACATACTACAGAAAATTATTTGTGCGAAAATGTTTTTGTGCGACAACGATAATCAGAAAAATTACCACAAATTTACTTTGTGCCGAAATGACAGTCAGCCCTCTAAACCAAACGAACAAATTTTCAACGTGTGAATGTTTTAGGCTTGGGGTGAAAAATTTCAAAATCTAGAATCACTGTTTGTAGGCGTTCCTTGGCCCCCAGAGTTCAACCCCTAAAGTTTAAAAAAATGTCACGAAATGTCATGCATGAGATTTCACGTGAGTAGATTTCATGAAATTTTCCATCTCTACTGGAAAATGCTTAAAAGTGGCGCCAGCTCCTCCATTCCTATTGCGACTCTTTGTACCCTAGAGAAGAGAAGGCTCCGGAACTAGAACCTGAGTGCACCTTACGTCATTGAATTACGAGACCAATCGTGATCTTTCAGATTTATCACCATGACAGTGATATTGTCTAAAGATCCACGTAGATATGCAGAGTGAGTTAAACTTTTTGCACCAAAATGCTGTTCACGGAGCCTCTCCTTTATGAAAGCAACAACTTCTTCATTTGTAAAAGTATCCCACAGACCATCCGAAGCTAGAACTAAAAACTGCGGCTTGTGATCGTATAAATCAAATGTCAGTACATCAGGGCTAGCTATAACAAGATTCTTATCTTTTAAAGGATAATCTCCCAGCGCTCTAGAAGTTGCTAGTACTCCTGCCACTCGCCAAACTCCATTGAATGCGATGAATCCACCAGCCTCTCTAATTCTCTGCTTCTCTCGTCGCTGCAAAACATAATTTGATGAATTTCTAATGAAAACACAAGTATTAAGTCCCAGAGGGCAAATGCCTCGCTGTACAAAACTTACTTTCCTTCTGGGCCCCTAGATGAACCAGTCCCACTCGAAAGTGTCCAGGTAAGAAAAAGAAAATAGCGTACGACAGAAAAAGAACCCTGCACAACCTTATGGGAAATCCCCCGGTCAAATCTGATGAAACTTTGATAAGTTGCTAAGCTAGTCATTCTGATCAAAAGCTCTCATGGGCCAAAAGAGATCCCATGCTTGGTTTTTGAGATATTTACCGTATTACAAACGCGAACGGAGGCCCCTCCGCACAGTGTGGCATCCGTATGGACGATGCGGACAAGAATCGGTAAGACACTTAACTATAAATAATAAGGATAGTAGCACCAATATAGGAAAACACTCGAGGAGTAAGAAAATGATATAACTCGGGATTTTTTGCGTATTTTTCAAGAGAAGTTCATTTGAGGTTGGCAACCTCGAATTAGCCTTATGTTAACAATGTAAAAGCAACGTGAAACACCCAAACTTTAACTTCAAATATCTCTGATAATCGCCAAGAGTCACAAGATTTCTTTGGTAGAATTGAAGTTGGAAACCTGAGGATTAAGCACATGCCAACTAGAGTAGCTGTATACCGAGAGTATGGACAGATGTGAAACTCCAAAAATCCATCAGGCCTTTACCGATGCTTCCGCGAATAAGTTAGGGCCCAGAAATGCAGCCAACCTATGAATTTCAATTTTTCAGAACAATTTAATAGTACTATTGTTACGAACCGTCGTTTATAAAACACGTATTTGACTCAGTTTTTGCATAAATTTACTCATTTATGCGGAAGAACGCTCATTTTTGTACATTCTTGGTCCTGGTCAAGGCAGCAAATAGGTTAATCCGGCCCCGGTGTTCAATTTTAATATTAATAGGACCGACTTAGAGAGAGTATACGTGATGAGAGGCTTAGGTGTATTAACAGAGAGAGACTAACAAGGGGAACTTACGGACCTGCCGCCTCCGATTGGGCTGAATTTTTTTTCACAGACTCTATGGACCAAATCTAGAGGTCAATTTGAGCCGTTTTCCCGAATGCGCAATAGGAAGGGCTGAAAAAATTCCCAAAAGTTGCGTTTTCGGCGGGTGATTTGGTCTTGCGGCGCGTGGCAACACTGAAGCAGCCTCTTGTATCACTTTATCGCAGTTGCGGTATCAGTGGTAACCGGAGCCCCACTGCACAGGTGCTGATTTCCCAGACGTGAACATCCGGGTTCGATTCCCATCTGTACTGTATACTTTTTACTTTCTGCATGATCACGTAACATTTTATTTTTAATTCTTCATCCGTATTTATAAATCAAGCAGTTCTAATCACTATCCCCCCCTTATTTTACGTACATCCCCCCCCCTATTGACTCATATTGACCACCAATAACCTATGAAACTTCATTGACAAAAATTAATCAATTAAAAAGCAAAGAGCCAGAATAATGTGTTTCTTGGCGGCCCTTGCATGCACATGGGTTTGGAGTTGCTCTTCGATTTATTTACACATTACTTACATATTTTTCCAGGAAAACATCATGAGATAATGTAGTGACAAATAAGGTTTTCTTTTGCTTTTTAATTCATTAATTTATGTCAATGAAGTTTCATAGGTTATTGGTGGTCAATATGAGTCAATAAAGGGGGGGATGTACGTAAAATAAGGGGGGGATAGTGACCAGAACTGCTTGATTTATAAATACGGATGAAGAATTATAAATAAAATGTTACATGACCATGCAGAAAGTAAAAAGTATACAGTACAGATGGGAATCGAACCCGGATTCTCACGTCTGGGAAACCAGGACCTGTGCAGTAGGGCTCCGGTTACCACTGAAACCGCAACTGCGGTAAAGCGATACAAGAGGCTGCTTCAGTGTTGCCACACGCCGCACGACCAAATCACACGCCGAAAACGCAACTTTTGGGAATTTTTTACGCCCTTCCTGTTTCACATTCGGGAAAACGGCTCAAATTGACCTCTAGATTTGGTCCATAGAGTCTGTGAAAAAAAAGTCAGGCCAATCGGAGGCGGCAGCTCCGTAAGTTCCCCTTGTAAGGGATGCGATTGTAAAGTAAGAAGGCATGAAAGTCATTCCATGTCAAATCAACCGATGTTTTTGATTTTTTTTAACTTCCATCCTGGAACTCAATGACATTTTTCCGACTTCTTTCATATAATATTGTGTGTACTCTTTTACCTTCATTGGTTGAAACTTTCTAAGATAATAATAACAATGAAGTTTTGAGACTTTTCATTAAAATCATGGGAGAAGTTACCTAAAGCAAAGGCAATTACAACAGAACTCTTTGATCACACCATGTATCACAGTTAGACTGCATTTGTTAGGAGAGAACCAACTTAATAAAGTGTTGGCAAAATTAAGCAAATTCTCCTTTGCTTTAAAAATGCTGAATACATGTACTTCCGGTCATGAAATTAATTCAATTGTTTTCTAAAAAAAATCGTCAATTTTTGGGTGGGAAAACAAAAGCAATTCGCTGATTTAGACTTTTTTTTTCTTTTTAAAATAAAGATGAAGATACAATTTTTGCATGCTGAAATCAAATCAGTTCCCTTCTGTTGGATGTGATCTTTACTGGTTTATAACTCATTTGTTCATTCGAACTAAGCAGTGACATGGTTTTACTTGTTAGTAAGGGTACATACCATTTGAGGTTTATGATCAAATGATAATGGTATTGCATTGCCCTTATGGTCGCACATAACTCCCCGGGAGTCACCAACATTTGCCACGATCAATCTTGATCCTTCTATTAATGCAATTAATGCAGTGGTTCCTGGAGAAGAAAAAGTAAAATGAAGTGTTGAAATCTATAAATTAAACTGATTGAAAATAAATGAAATTATAAACAAAATACTTTTAGGCCAGAAAGATCTTGGTTTTTGAGGTTTCAGTACGAATTTGCACATTAAAGCAAGGATCCTGTGCAGATTGATTCATAAAATTTCATTCAATTCTTCAATTATATTTCTAAAAAAAATCTTTGAAGTGTATCAAGAAGAATTTATCTTTTAATTTTACTTGATATATATGTTACCGTTAATGTGCGTAATCCATCTACACATTAACTAGTTGATGAATATGTTGCAGGCAATTTTACAATCTCCGACAATTCACGATCGGCTCGCGAGTTGCCTAGGCAAAACGCAAGCCGAGGCAATTCGCAAGCCGCTAGTGATGAACAAATTTAATGAAGAAAATCTGAGAATTTACCGATAGATACGGCAACACCGTGAGAATTCACCTCACTTTTTCGGAGGATAAAGTGGTATGAAATGCACTTCGGGAAAGTTGTGAGTATCCTTACGTATCGTGATAACACAAACTTTAGTAAGGGCTTCACTGCTTATTGAAGAAGAAAATACGAGCTCCTTGAAGTAGGAAACGCAACAAACATTGTACTTAAGAAGGAGAGACCAGATGATCCGATTATTTTTGTTGTTCCATTCGAAAAATTATACGACAAGCTGGTTGAATGTCATGTAAGAACTGGGCATGGAGGTCGCGACAAAATGGAACACGAGCTAAAGAAAAAATTTCAGATGTTGTGATTCAGGAGTTTGTCAAACTGTGCACTATTTGCCAGGGGAAGAAGCAGATGCCCCAAAAAAACTTAGTAGTTCAACCAATCATATCAAGGGATTTTAATTCTGGGGGCCAAGTAGATTTCGTAGATTTGCAGTCAGTGCCTGACGAGCAATTCAAGTGGATCCTCAATTATCAGGATCACGCTACTAAGTTCTGTCACTTACGACCTACTACGTCTAAAAGGGCTGCTGAAGTGGCTTTAGAGCTTTTGAAAATTGTTCTAATCCAAGGAGCACCACATGTATTGCAGTCCGATAATGGGAAAGAATTCATTGCGGAGATACTGACCGAATTGACCCATCTTTGGCCTGAGTGTAAAATTATACATGGTAGACCTCGCCATCCTCAAACACAAGGCTCCATGGAGCGCTGTAATCAAGACATCAAAAACATGTTGCGTGCATGGATGAAGCAACATAATTGCAAACGCTGGTCTTTAGGAATATATTTTGTACAATGGCAGAAGAACATATCATTCCACAGAACAATAGGCAGAAGCCCTTACCGGTGCCTCTACGGCTCCGATTCTAAAGTAGGTCTAACAACCACAAACAGGTAAATTCTCAAATTTTTTTCATCAAATTTGTTCATCACTAGCGCCTTGCAAATTGCCTGAGATTGTAAATTGCCTGCGACATATAGAATAACTGAGGAGACCAGGTAAAGTATGGAATGCCCGACGATTAGGTACTTTCACTGGTTATTCTATAGAATAACGAACAACTCGCTGGGAAAATGTGTAATGCTCATCAACAGGAACCAGCATCTGAGGAATGCGGGAGCGGAGGAGTATCCGTGGGAGGTTGAGTGATTGAGGGATGCCACTTGATAAAATTGTGGAAAGTGATAGATTTTCGTATAAAATAAATAAATAATGATAAAGATAAGATAAATAAATGATTTTAAAAAATAAAGAAAAAAAGATCTACATGTAATTTCTTGTCTTCGTGCAAAGATAAATAAACTTTTTTTTGACATTTACAGAACTTTTCAGTTAGGAATAAAAAGTATTGTCTCAGTAAATAAAATGTTGTAACTAATATTTGTTAGATGTTAAATGAACTTTTTGTCTTCGGTATCGCGTCACATTGCATTGCGGGTTCCCTCATTATGCGACAGACTTATATTCATACCATTAAATGCTTTCACTAATGGGCCTCTGTTAATCTGCAGAATAACTAGTTATACTATGCACTAACTAGTTAGAGTATGAAATGGACTGAGTTAAGCAGAAAGGAACCAACCCACATTTTGGAAAAAATTGAGTTATGAGTGGTTTTGAACTCAACCACTGCTCTACTATCTATCGCCAAAAATTCAAAGTTTTTGTTGGAGCAAATTTTGCAGAAACAGAACTTGAAGTTTATCTTTTACATTGAGTCTTACGCAGGAGCCAAACTTTAAACCTCTTTTTCTTGGTTCGATCCCGATGTGGCTTGGTTCCTTTCTGTTTAACTCCGTCCAAATAAAAATGGCATTTCATTCTCTGACTAAAACCGCCCGTTATTCCATACATAGTTAATGTAGTCATTAACTGAATTATGCAATTTAACAGTAACACAATTATATTTACACTTTTTTTTTCTCCTTTTTTTTGACCACTTTGCACTTTCACAATAAAGCGAACATATAAAAGGAGCGAGGTGAGACCCATATGGGCTTGAATACATTCCTATATTGTACTTGCCAACTCTCATCTTTATTCATGAATCAGAGCATATCCTGTCAGCCGGTTGCTTTGTGTGGTGTATGTTCAGAGATATCACATCTGAACGACCAGAAATTTTTGACTGGTGGTACCTTGGATTGCCATTTGCTATGTACCTACTCTCAGTCTCAGGATAAAGACATGACCAATTATAGTTTTTATAATGATTTACTAAGGCAAGTGACTATATCAGATGAGTGAAGGTATGAAAATGAAAATACTCAATTGAAAAATGTTGTTTTCCAACGATTACTTTTTTGAACACTGAGAAGTATTTTGCTTGCGATCTGCAGACTTTTGACTCTGTCATTTTCCTTTTCCTACAAATTGTTATTCGAGACGTTTTTCTGGACATTTCAATATTTCGGACCAATTGATACTAGTAATTGAATAAAACCCTTTAAATTTCAGATTCTTGGATTTTTTATTTTAGATATTTTTGTTCTAATTTTGTATTTCAAAAGAGCTCAAAGCATAAAACAAAGGGATTCGGTGCTGGTTAAATTTTCCACTCCTCAAAATGACTTACTTCACACTTGGACTTTCTAAGTGCAAAGGAGAGGTATCGATGAGGGCCTTAATTCCCCC